TAATGATTTGTCAATTTACAGTTATTGGTTCAATGTGAGGAGAACAGAATTAAGGTAGCAAAAGTAGTACTGCCTTTTTCCAGCTATCTGAAAGTAATGCATATTGCCTAAAAGTTAAAAGTATGTTTGTAAAAACATTATTTTTTCCTGTGGATATTGAGAAATATTTTAGCTTATGAGATTGAATCCCATGCATGTGCTCCTTAGGATAAGGAGCACTGCCAATCTGGCTGGCAATAGCAGATAGAAAGGATCATTGAAAGGACCTAGAATTAAGCAGATAGAAAGGATCATTGAAACCTGTGCCCAGTGCCAGGGCCCTCAGCTCACTCACCTCGTATAATGAATTGTCGTAATTTCTATGCCAATGTGCTAGGGGTAGAAAGCTACAGTTGCAGTTGTGAAGCTGTTAAAGTTATGGATGCTCTCTGTCAGCAGAAGTGCTTATGGCTCCCCAACAGAAAAATACATGGTATTATATCTGCATGTGAAGCTGAAAGCATTTTGCAGCTTCAAGAGGACTAAAATGTTGACCTCCTGTCTCCTGTCTTATTCAGTGTGCATTTGCTGACCAGTCAGATTGCCGTGCATGGCATTCAAGCTGCTTGGAGCTGCTCTGATTAACTGGACAGCACAACAACACCTCTTCTGTTAAACTGTTTAATATGCCATCTCCTTATCTCATCTTTGCCCGCTTGTCCTTCATAGATCATGTCTTTGCCTTCCTGGAACAATCTCCTATTTTTGTTCGTTCTCCCATGTAACAAACTAGTAAACCAAACCAAAACAGAACAGCATGGCTCTCTGGTGTGGGATTCCAGGCAGCTCAAGTGTGACTGGGATCAAGGTTCAGCCCTTTCTTCATTTTGGCACTCCCAGCAGAGACAGCCAATCAGAATGAAATTTATGTTGCTGGGTCACCTGAAGATGTTCTGGGCTTCAGTTCCAGGCAGGCTTAAGTCAGCATGACCAATGACCAGGAGCAGTGGGGACCTTTAGATCAAAATATCCGGAGGGCACCAGGTTGGAGAAAGCTAATATAAGCATAGAAGTTGTATTGGTTAGCAAATATTTCCAGGGCACTAATGGACTTATTCAGTGGCCTGGCTTATGCATAACTATGGCTTACCTACATGAGCTTGTTTGTTTGCTCCAGCATGACCGTTAGGAAAGTGTCTGTTTTCATCTGACAGTTATGTGTGATGCGAGTCAGACTGTTTACAGTGCTGACTCTAGTCTAGGGCAGCCTTCCCCATCCTGGTTCCCTCCAGACGTAGTGACTGACAACTGCTGTGAATGTCAGCCAGGGATGCTGGTGGGTGTGGACTAACACATCAAGAGAGCCTTGGCTGGAAGAAAGCTAGTTTAGGGCAATGCTCTACCTCTGAGCTGTGATTACTTGATTCTGGGTTGATTCATCAAACCAGGAGTAGACCACCAGTGGATGTTTTGAACAACACTGCCCATAATTCTTGCCTTGCAACACTTTTGCCAGGACTGATGGCAGTTGTTGTCCAAGACCTCTCAAGTGCCCCAGGCTGCCTACCCTTGTGGTGACCTTGTGTCAGCAAGGGCCTGCTGCAGGGGAGCTGGAGCTAGAACCAACTGCCAGCGCTCAGTGTAAAAGAAGCCCAGGAACTCGTGGTCCCTCATGAGCAACTGGCTGAGAATCCCACTGGGCTCTGTTGCATTAGGCTTCTGTGCAGACCCCTTGTGTCCTTGAGCGCACAGCTGGGTTACAGATTTTAGTCTGCATCCTGCGTGCAACCTGGTTGTTAAACCAGGGTTAGCTTGACCAAAAATGTGGTGTGCACCTTTGTGAACCCCCTGCCCACTTTCACTTCTGAAGTACACAATCTGGGTTTTGGTGAAAACAGAGAATGATTTGTTAGGAATTCAGGAAAAAGCACAGGATGGGGAAAAGGCTGATTAGATTCAGAGCCCAAAGCAATGATGGGTCTAAAGTGGAAATTCATTGGCAAATGATGAATAAAATAGGCAAGACATTTAGGTAGCACAGTCCTGCACACGCTGCGTACCATGACTTCCACAAGGGAGTTCTCCTGGTGCTTCAGTCATCTCTTCTCCCCACCCTTTTGAGGAAAACTACAACCAGGCACTTGTACCAGGGAGAAAAAATGGTTTAATCTCTTGCTTCGTATGTGGGATGTTCCTAACCCCTCTACTGAGAGAGAAATAGCCCTGAGGCTTTTTTCTTAGTGGAATAGCTCTCCTTTGGTTCCTCCCCACTGGCCCACTGAATAATCACTCATCCCCAGCTCTGAGGTAGATTCTAGAAGTTTCTTCATTAGGCACCTGTGCAGATTTCTATTCAATAGCTCTGCCAAGTGGAGGCACTTCAATTTGAGATGAGCTTGGCCGGGCATTTGTACTGCAATGCCAGCATCCACATGGCCCAACAGAGTCCTGTGACTGATTGCAAAATGGAGGTTTCCTTCCCTTGAACCTGGAAAAGATGGGGTCAGTATGGTCTGGCTGAATGGACCACTCCAAGCTGACCATAACATTCCCGCTAAACCACAGTGAGCACGAAACACAGTTCATCTTGGTGTGCATATAGCAAACTGCAGTTATGTGAAAAAGGATGCAAATACTTCCAGTCTTCTCCTTGCCAGTCCTGGAGAGGGTTAGCACAAGCCCAATGCTTGTGACTGTAACACTATACTGTGGGTGTTACATGTCCAAAGGACTACTAAGATTCCATGAAATTATTTTCACACATTACAAAATGTAAGTCTCTCTGATGCTTGTGCCTTATACAAATATTTACCAATGTTACATAGACTTAAAATTAAGCTAACAAGTGAACACTAGCATACCTTTCTTCAAAGCATTCTTGGGCTCCTGTAAGAAAGAATTGTCTTGTTGGAACTAACAAATGTGGATGATGCTGAACTGGAATATGCAACCATGGAAGTCTCTGCACATTACATTAAGATTTAACCTTAATAGTATCAATTAAAATGCTCTGAAAGCTGTGTAACGGTTCGATAGCTGTGACTCATGCCTAGACATCAGCCCTTCTGATGGATGTGTGGGTATACTGTTAACCTGCACAACAACACTCTTCTATTCATTTAATGATGAATACAAGTCCCATGTTTAGAAAATCTGTTTCATTTAATTGTTATATTGTAATAATTTCAAAAATTATTCTTTTTGAAACAGACCTCTGAATAATTAATTGTAACTTTCAAGGTTAAACATTTGCCCTGCTTTCTGTTCCTTCTGTCCTGTTGATGGAATATATTAAATGATGGTATACAGAGTGACTATTTTCCAGAAGTACTGTTCATTTTCTCCCCTTGTATAAAACCTGAGCAAAGATATAATAGTCTACTATATTAGTAACATCTATTCTAACAGAGAAGTTAGAGGAGCCAATAGTAACAGTTCACTTCCTTTATTCCAAAGTGGTTAAACACCAATGCAGTATAAAGAGATGGCTGAGTGCATATTCTGTGTTTCCACAGTATCTAATATTAAAAGAATATTTAGGATTTTATGCATTCAATGATTGCTTTTTTATTACTTTAAAATATGCAGTGATTACTTTTCAGCACTGGAGATTTTTTTTTCTTGTATAGCTAATTTATATTTGGTTTTCACATTTTGAATAAATAGTCTCTTGCTTTTAACTCAGTTCATGTTCTGGAATAGCCTTTTCCAACTTGGTGTTCCTCAGATGTGTGGGAGTACTACACCCATCATCCCCAGACAACATGGCCAGACTGTAGTCTAGGAATAAATGAAATAGTACCTGAGTGCATCTGGTGGATACCAGGTAGGGAAAGGCTCCTTTACACAACTCGGCCTCTAGCAGTGACGGTAAGGATCCAAGATGTATAGTAACTAGATTGTCTCAAATTGCACTAGGTTATAAGCTGAAACTCAGTGAACCCAGGCTTATAACAATTAAAATAATAGCCAGATGCAATAAGTTGTGACAATGGAATGGATGAAATTCAAAGTGATTGGAAATGGAGTAAATGTTATTTCATAGAAATTTGATTGCAGGAAGGCTGAGTGGAGTTAAAAAATAGAAGCCACTGCCACTCCAAAAGAACAAGGTGGAAAGCTAAGAGGGGAAGACTCTTTATGCAGGCATGGCATACGGGAATTTTGCTGCATCTCTTTACAATGATCAAGGCGCACATGCTAACCAGTCCTTAAAACAAGCTGCTTAGGTACGCATATTGTCTCATGCAGAACTACACATCAGGACAAAAAATGAAAGGGGGAACGGGAACAATAAGGAGCTGGTGGGGAAGGGGAGCAGAGTGCCTTCACAGGCACAGCGGTGTTATTCATTTAAGCACTGCTTACCATGGACACCTCAGTATGAATATTAATTATTTTTAAAATCAACTACTTGAAGCCGGTATTTTTTGTTCTTATTTTGGAGGATGTTTTTAGCAAGTAGATGGTGATGGTTTAATATAGGGAATTGAAACTGAGAGCTGGCAGTATGCCCAGCACTTAGTCTCACTAAATTAGTTTTAAATGCACATTTCAGCCCAGTGGCTTGTGCAGAAGGTTGCTCACCCAGCTACACATTTCCCCCGATGCCTGCATCCCGCATTTCTGAACCAGAGATGCTGCAGTGGTAACTTCATAGGATCTTCCTTTATGGCAAATTAGGCTATTTGTCCACTTGGATAATGTGCCTGAGAGCAGCACTCCAGGTTGTGGGCAGGTGTCACATCTGCTACCTGATAATTTAACTGCAGATGCCAGAGACCAAATCTGGCCCCATGTGCCTCTTCCTGTGGGTTTCAGCCGCTCTGCCTGTTTAAAGCTGTCGGAAAGAGGGGGATAACACTGGTGACCGTAGCAAACTCGAAAATGCATCACTGGATCTCCGTCATCACAAATCTCTGATTTCCAAACTGAAAAAAAAATGTGCCGGGGGGGCAACTATGATCTATTTGAAAAGATTTCAGACATGTTAATCTTTCTCTTAAAATGTTTTTCTACAGGGTCATTTATTGTGTTTTTGAAAGAATCCACATTAACGCGAGTACAGAATAGCATGGACACCGAAGGATTCCCCCCACCACCACCACCTGAAGGTAGAAAAGCACCAACATCCTAATTTTATTTCCATAAACTGAGAATTTTGGTCCATTGATGTTTAAAACTGTGTTGTCCATTTTCTGCCTTTTCTTGATAGAAAACAATCACTTTGATAAGGTTTTAGTAATTTTCAGTTGCCAAATGACCAAGTTTAAGGCCATCTTTACAATCCTTTCAGCACCAGGAGAGATCAGTCCTCTTCTCCAGACATTTTAATAATTGATTTTATACTTGGATATTATTTATACTGTTTTTACTTTTAGTATATTTTAACTTATTGATATCTGACCTCAGCTGCATATTTCTCCATTTTATTGTAGGTTATTATTCTTATTCTTATTATTCTTATTAATGAAATATTGTTATTTTATTTGATATCTGCTTGGAGAGTCTTCAGACTAGTATAGCGGAATATAAGTTGAATAAATAAACACATAAATAAAACATCTCCTATTGGCCCATGCTTCACAGAACCAGGAGACTGGAAGGCTTATTTCTTGACTGACGTGATCAGTGACCACCAATGACATGCAGTGTCGCCAAAGAGAAATATTGGCTGGAGGGCTGGCCGAGCTAAGCCCCTGTCAAGGACCATATTATTTGAAGCATCCTTTGGGTGGAGGAGCTGGACGTGCTCCCCCAGCCAATTTTTGCTTGGAAGGCATTTCTACTCCTATACAAGCTTATGGAGCAAGGCCTGGTTGTGGAACAGAAACTGCCTTGGTCACCCTGTTGGATAACCTTTGCTGGGAGAGGGACTGCAGATTCCCTTGGACCTCTCAGCAGCCGATGAGTTGTCTTGGTTGGGAGATGGAATCATTGCATTGCAATGGTGCCAGTCCTACAGGGATGGCCAATTTCAGAAGGTGGTGCTGGAGGATCATTGCCCTGGAAGCTTTGCTATGGTGTTCAGTGCTGTCCCACATGCGGTTTAACATTTGCATGAACCTTCTGGAGGAGATAACCCAGAGATGTGAGCTGAGGTGTCATCAGTAGCAGCTCGCTCTTTCCATTTCATCAAACCTGGCTGAGGCAGTGGCTGTTCCAAATCAGTGCCTGGGCGTAATAATGGACTGGAGAAGGGCTAATAGACTGAGATTTGGTCCAGACAGAATGGAGGTAGTTTGTGGATGGATTGCTTGCCCAACTGAGTGCCCTGGAGAGAGTTGCACACCCCCTAAGGATCAGATTTGTAGTTTGACATGCACCCGGATCCTGCATTGTCTCTAAAGGCACAGGTAGACTTGGTGGCACAGAGCACTAGACTGATATACCAAGTGCATCCTTCCCTATACAGGAATAGCCTAGCCATGTTTATCCATGCCCTGGTCAGATTACTGCAATGCATTGTACGCAGGGCTGCCTTTGAAGACAGCCTGGAAACTTGAACCCATTCAAAACAGGCCACCAAGACCATTAATCAGAACAGGCCAGTGAGATCATAGCAGGCCAGTCCATGTCCAGGCCTGATCCAGAGCCCTAAACAGCTTGAGGCCAGCTTACTCCCCTGCTCCAGCTCTTATACACCTGCCTGGACCCTAAGATCACCCTCGGGGGTCCTTCTGTGGGAGCCCCTGCCAAGGGAAATCAAGGGGTGGCTGCTAAGAAGAGGACCTTTTCTCTTGTGGCATCCCAGCTCCAGGATGAACTTCCCAGAGAGGCATGCCTGACACCAACACTGAAGTGGAGTGAAGGCCTTCTTTTTGCAGTTTGTTTTAAATCCTGTACTGTAGTTTAAATCTTTGTACTGCTGCTGCGTTTTGCTCTGGTTTTTACTTCTGTTTTCATACTGTAGTATTAACCGTTCACATTTTATACTGCATTTTATGTTTTAGTTTCATTTCAAATTGTTGTGAACCATTTAGAAATCTTTGGCTATTGGGTAGTATAGAAATATAATAAATAATAACCCCTACTTTTCCTTTTATCATTGAAGAATGTGTCTTTTACGTATAGGCCTTACCTATAGGACTCACGTGTGTTCTTAAATTTTAATTTATATTAATTTCTAACTGCTTAATCTATTGTCCTGAATTTATGGGTGTAACAGGCTGCTTATAGCATGTGTTTTGAATTTGATGTGAATCTATCTGATGACTTCATTTCCTGGCACTTGCCTAAAGATGAAGCTTTGTTTCTAACAGTTTTTCCATTTGTTGTTTATTATCCCTTGCCTGGAATTAGTTTCTATTTTTTGGGGGGATGTAATAGGCTCATGTGTGTGGTGCAGAAAGCCACGTAAGTGGATATGCTATTTTCATTGTACAAAGAGAGGTAAAGCTTGGGCAATATATTTTTACATGGAATCTATATCCTGCCATGTCCTTTGTCTGTCCCTATATTATAGTCTGATTATGCAGCTGATTGTATGTATATATGCCGGAGTAGAGCTAGAAAGAGGAATATATGTGTGTGTAACCTATACATGTGAGCTACTTTGGGTGTGCCATTCTGTAGCTGGCACATCTGTTAGGGTGTGGTATAACAAACAGCCCTGGACTCGGATCAGCAACATTTCACTTGCAAAACCTTGTGTGGTGATGAGGTTAAGCTATGAAATATCTCTTCCTGCATGTTCCCTGGCATGGTTTACGACTAGGGCCCCTTGCTATGGATGTTCCCCCACAAGACTTGGCCAGGAAGCACTAGACAGAGGACTGCCTTGATGGTGCATCCTCTGAGAGTACACCCTGCTGGGAAGATCTCAGGCTAGTGCTCTCTTGTCTGTCACAGAGCTGGTTAAAAACTCCCCATTTTAGAAGAGTTTAATGAGCTAGGAGGATGTATGTGGCTACAGCTCGGTTTTTAAGCTGATAATTACCACTACTGTTTATTGTGACAACTGCTCCTATAGTGTAGAAGTGAAGGCATGGGTTGAAAACACATCTTTCCTTTGGGGAAAAGAAAATATGAAACCAGAGACAGGGCCAGCCCTGCCATTAGGCAGAATGAACGGAGGACCTCAGGTGGAAGATGCTGGGGACATCAGTGACAGCCTCCTGCTCTTCCTCTCTGTTGGAGGACAGAACTTGCTGTGCCGCACAGCATGCCCTGGCCTTGCACCCCACCCGGTTGCCTGAGCTCTGCTGGAAGGCCTTGTCCAAACACCAGTGCTTGCTGAAGTAATAGTTAACTACCAGTCCTGAGGGCTTTTCTGCGTGGAACAGGGAGATGGTACAACTTTGTCCTTCGTTTCAGGCAGCAGTAAGGTTTGGGCTGCCACAGTTTAAAAGAAACAATGCATGCTCCTCAGGCAGAACCATCGCCTCCTTAGAGAGGGCAGCATTTCCATACTGGTGGCTCACTGCTTCTTTTACAAAGCAGCCTGCCTCTTTGGCAATAGCAGTTCTCGATGGCGGAGCTTCCAGCAAAGGTGCAGTTGCAAACTGCTGCTTCGGACTGTCAATCCGGGAACAACCAAGACTCGGAACAAGAATCTGTGGAAGATATTGCCAGCGTTGGTGGCTGGGGCGGAGGTGCTGAGAGGGCTGGGTTAGAGAGCAGTGTTTAAAATTTTTATTTCAGTTGGATTGAACACAAAATAATTTGATGGAGGACTGTAGAAAAAACAAATGACGTCTCTTTCACGGTACAGTAAATTCATGTGTAGCAATAAGCACAAGAATGTCTTGCTTGGTCAGTGTTCAGAAAACAATGTTCATACTTTGCTAATAGCCAGTAAACAATTTGAGACTGAGTGGAGACCTTTTCTGTGAGTGGATGGAAAATGCCTCTGCCTTTTGGGAGTGGAAGACAGAGGCATCGTCCCCATTCAGCAGTATCACTGACCCTCTGAGGAGGCAGCAAGGTGGCCTGCTTCCTTCAGCCAGCTGCATATGCCTAAATCTGGGTCCACCCCAAGTCTGGTTGCACCTCCATTAAATCCATCACACAAGTGCTCTCCCCCCCCCCCCCCCCGTTTGTACAATTCAGTGCTTCCAGAGCAACTCCAAACAGGTGACAATCCTTGTTGCTGGAAGCTCCTTATGGGAGTTCCACTGTCCAGTCCCAATCCAGAAATCCATTTCTGCTAGTTTTGAGCCATCCTCCAGGGAGTATTAAGTCTCCTTTGTGTGAGCAGTGGGTCCTGCTGGTGGAACAGAATTGGCAGGACCCACTGTTTGCAGAAGAGAATTAGCAGGGTGGAAGGAAATCGGTGGATGCATAAGTGTCTCACTAGATATTGCTCAAAATGTCTGTCACTACTACTCAGGTTTGTAGAAATCAAGTCAAAATTAAGATATGCAGCATTAAAATAATATCTCTTTTTGTGTGAGAAACATTTGTGCTAAGCAAGGATATTCCAGGCATTCTCACTCACAGGATCACAGTTCAGAGAAAGCTGGCCCTTTTGCACATGCAAAGCTTTGGTGACTTCTTCTGAAGCATGGAAGACCTGGTCACAGCAAGTCAGGTGGACCAGAGTCTGGCTTCAAATGGGTGACGGCCCTTGAGTGCATGCTGATCACTTGGTTCCTCCCATTAGCTGGAGTAGACAAAGCAGGACTGCAGTGTATCTAATATATTAACTTTTAAAGAATTCTCAAATAAGGCAAAAGTAATGCTATTCTCAGTTTTATATTGTCTATGCAGAAGTCCCCTTTGATTCAGTAGGATGGACTCCCAGATAAGGATTGCATTCAAAATTAAAGCATAGTTAATCAGTTGAACATTGGTTATGCTCAGAAGTAAAGGGCTGTTTAATTATTTCATGCCATCTAGGGTCAGAAGTTTAACATTATAACTTAGTAAGTCTGCATGATGAAGCCGGCTTTAGAAGTTGTAAGAATATTGCCTGAACTGCACAGCAACAGTAAATGGAGTTGATCTTTCTCTATGCCGCATTTGTTTGTGAGAAATACCAATTAAAGCGCACAGACAGTTACAAAGGCTGGTAAAAATGGAGCCAAGATTTGAGAAGAATGAGAACAGCATCTGAACTGTACTCATCAATAGTCTTTTGTTTGGGAAGCTGTTAGTTGCTTGTTTGGTGTCT